GAGTCATGCAAACAGATTTATGTTGTGGATGAACAGACGCTAAAATGTCTCTCTGCTACAGTACTGTTGGAACAAATTAGTGAGCCAGTTTTATTAAAACAGTCCAAAGTTAAAAAAAAGCATTGAATCTCCTCTGGGCCCCCAGTTGGTTTTACTGCTGCTGGCTTTTACTTTTGTGAGACTCATTAATAAAGATAAGCAAGAAAATACATAACTAATCTGATTTGTATTCATCATTCTGGTTCAAATATAAGCTAACGTGTGACCTTATGTTAAGATGTGAAACATTCTATAATTATGTTTTGACGAAATATGAATGAATTACATTTTTTACATTCACAATGTTTGGTTTTGGGCTCTTCTTCTCAACTGTTTTATTTCATTTACTTGTCTCAATTTTCTTTCCTCTTGAATCAGACGATGAAACAATGATGACGTACATGGAGTGAAAAAATGACAAAAAAAACATGAAAGATAAAAACGGGAAAAAAAGAAAGAAAGTACAGCCTAACAAAATAAAATAAAAGTAGACGAACGAGTACAAAGGAAGAATAAAGGACAGTACGGACTTACAGGCAGAGGGAGATGTTGATGAAAGTGTTGGCTCAAATGGACCGTGAGGGAGCAACTTCTGGCTCCTGGAGGATTTCTCTTCAGGTCATCAAGCATCACATCATGGAGACGCACATGTAACTGTGGCCACAGCTAAAGCCAAAGACCCACCCAGTCTTTCCTCATGCGTGACTCATTCCAAGTCTTCCTCTAGTTTTCCCCTATTTTCTCTTTTATTTCATTTTCTCTGTTTGACTGGGTTGCCAGAATACACCAATTACCAAACAAAGCGGTTACTCACCAACTGGTAACATCGCCCAACATCGCCAACCAAAGCCAACGGACCATTACGCTCCTAAACAGCACATCTTTATCAAACTTTTTAAATCTTAATATCTCTCACCCGTGTATATTTACTGCTGCACAATCCTTTTATGCCCACCGTTACATTACATCTGAAGAGATAAATCAGGAACACTCTGTGCCCAAGAGGTTCAACATCACTTAATAAAAGAAGTTCAATCCCTGCACTGGTTCGGCACTGCTTTTTCCTAAAGATACTCAAGCATCTGAGCAACCTTCTGCTGTTGTCCAAACCTGAGTATATTTTAATTCAGTAATAAAACATGTAAAAAAACTAAAGCATTAGGTTGAGAATGTTCCTCTGAGTAACCTTAAGGTAAGAGATTACACAGAGTCCCCACTGGCTGATGTAACTGGTCCTCAGACAGTTTGAGTTGTTGCACAAAGAAACAGGAATGTTGCACATTGCCTATCAAAACTAATATTTACCAAAACAACAACGCGATTGTGTCTGGTATGATGAGGTTGGCAGTGCATTTATCCAAGCAAGCTTTTGTTCCATCTTAACAGGCTTGACAGACTCAAATACTCTCTACGGTGCAGGTTAAACCCCCCTTGGAAAAACTGTCAGCTTAATAGCCTCTGCCTTACGCTGATAACTGCCATGCTCTTTGGAAGTAGGTGGATAAAGGTGCAAAAGCCTTTGTGCAGCCAAGAGGCCCTTTTTTTTCACTCTCTTTGAAGTGAGTTGACATTCAGCTCAGGGTTTTGGTTTGACGACGCAGCGCTGCCTCGCAGCTCCTTTCCTTCGCTAAACTTCAGCATATTACACAAAGTTGGAGCACGGCTCTTGTCATTCAGTGTAACTAACAGGTTGTCTGCTACTTCTGTGTTTTGTTTGACTCCCCTCACAAGTCGATTGAGGGCGTCGGTGGCGGGTGGGGGGCGATGGCGGGGGACACGCTGGCAGGTCGGATAGTGGGAGCCGAGCATTACGTCAAACTCCATCTCTGCTACGAAAATCAAAGTAGATGGACACGGCTCTCCGAACCACCGCAGGACATACAGCAGAGTGCAGGCAGGACGCGGCCATGTGACGGGAATGCCAAAGCACCATGTCACTGCTCATGACGGTCAATTGGTCTGTGAGTCAACAGGCTTTGAGAGATGCTCTTCCACTGCAGGCGGTGGAGCAGAGCGGAGTGTATTCAAAAGGGGGATGCTTACTTGCTTTGCATGAATATACTTCACAACATAATGCATGTCCCACCCATTAGGTGCCAAGTGCTCATCCACCCGTAGACTCTTTTCTACTGGAAATTAAAAGCATTTGTGGTTTGCTTGAATCCTTCAGCAACTTGTGTTTATGTGTTTTTCAGGGACATACTTATAAAAGTAAGAACGGTTTCCTCTCCGGAAGGAAGGCATCATGCTGCCACACCTGCACAAAAGGACTAGATGTGAAGATGGTTGTGGGAGTAGGTCCATCCATTTTCAAACCGCTTATATTGGCACAGGGTTCGCGGGGGGCTGGAGTCTATCCAGCCAACTTCGGGCGAGAGACGGGGTACATCCTGGACTGGTCGCCAGCCAATCGCAGGGCTGACACAGAGACACACAACCATTCACACATCTATGGACAATTTAGAGTCACCAATCAACCTGATCCACAGAGCATGTCTTTGGACTGTGGGAGGAAGCCGGAGAACCCGGAGAGAACCCACGCAGACACAGGGAGAACATGCAGACTCCACACAGAAAGGCCACTGGGCGGAGTCAAACCCAGGACCTTCTTGCTGTGAGGCGACGGTGCTAACCACGTGGGAGTAGGTGCACTAGCTGTCAACAATTACAACTTCTTAATTTTTTGTATTAAGAATTCATTTTTTGTATTATTACAATATTTTTTATTCATTATTACTTTATCATAAAATATTTGGTTTTCCAACCGGGCCAAAAATTATATTTGCTACATTATTGCGTGTAATATTTTAAATGTTCATCTTAACTCGGTGTTTAAATATTTAAACATAAGGAATGTTAATTTTGTGGACCTGCCAAAATAACTATTGCAAATATATTTGATGCTTAACAGCTCTGTTCTAAAAAGTCCATAGCCGGTAATGTCTGATATAATATGTAATCACAGATAATAATGTAATAATAACACCGTGTGCAGGACACCACGTGTTCACATTTTTTCAATTGTAAGAATATTCTGCGCTTGGTGTGATAGGCCTTCGCTTATTACCAATTCCCCAGAGAATTGAAGCCCCCGGGCGTAGCTTCCTTTGATACTGCCTTCCTCGCTTCCCGCTCTACGGGGTCAGTGTGGCGGCTGCTTTTATCACCTGACCTGGAGGACTTTCACTATAGGAGTAAATTGTCTCAGCACCTTCTCCATATTCCCTTTGACGGTTTGTTGGAGCACTCCAAGGTATGTCGCATCCAGTTGACCTGCACGCTGGTGGACTAGTGTGCTCCGTCTGCACCACTGCTCTATTTATACATGCATACACTCTACTTGACAGTGATGAGACACATGTCGCTGTATCTGGTTGATAAAATACATATTGAATTATTTCAAAGTCACTCTGGTCTACAGATTTGAAGATATTTCCAGTTTTTTGGAACGAACTGATTGTGAATCTGAAAGATTTAAAAATGTACAACTCTATTTTAATAATTTAAACCAATGTTAACAAATATAGAGCTGTGGCAGAACCTCCAGATTACATAGAAAATGATCAGCTCATCATAATCGGTTGTATAACTGTGGTGATCATATTCGTAGGCGCGGTCGGCTCTGACTCAAGATACATCTTTGATATCTGATCTTTTAACCTTTTATGAGCTGACAGCAGACATCTCCTGGCAGGGCACTTCTGGCCATGACTATAGGATCTAAGATCAAGACCAGTGGTTACTGAGCCTTCGCCATCTGAGCCCCGAAGCTTTCTGGGTAAAAATAATATATGCAGTATTATAGAACTCTTTTCCTTGTATTTACTTTTTACTGAGCTATTCATGTATGTAAGATTGTTATTTCAGTGCTTTTAGGAGTTAATTTAAATTTTTGTGAGGAGAATGTTATTCAGCTTCTCAGCGCTGATTAACTAGTTTATTGAAATATTCCACAACAGTTCACATTAAAAAAGCCTCACGGTGATACAACTTGAATGCTGTTAATAATAAAAGAACACTTGTAGTGATTCAATTTTATTTTTCAATTCCAAACTTTGCAAGTATTACATTTAATCTCAGACTCGGTGTGTCTCTCTGAAGCATTGCTTTGTTCATAACACATGTACTAATTAAATAGTTATCATAGTTATCCAAACTCGGGTGGTGGGATTCCGGGTTGGTGGTCAGTATCGATTAGTTTGGCTATAGAACGTCGGGTAGCATTAACGACACATCCGACTCATTTGCATGTCTTCCCCCAAATGCAAATCAGACTAATTAGTGAGCCCTGATTCGCTCTCCTGGAAGAACTACCCTAAGGTGTAGTGGCAGATTTAAACCAGTAGGGAGCACACTTTTCATACCATCGCGATGGAATCTAAGGTGCTGTATTTTGACTCGGAAACAGCAGGTTTTTAAATACACGATGCGGTATTTTTAGGAGATGAGTGCAGCATCACACCAACATCTAACTGGATTCACTGAATGCATTCATAATATTTTGTCCTAGCAGCATGTATGAATGATGAACCAAGTATTCACATTTGCTTCAATCTATTATATCTATGGAAATACCTGACAGCACTGTGCAAATACGTTCATTTTCAAAAAGGTGCGGATTTTAATAACCTACTTTTAGTAAATTTGTGTTAAAACAATTATCCAAACCTGCTTTGAGTGGATATGCATGCTCTTTAAAATTATATAAGGGCATGAAATGCTGGAAACATCAAGAGAGCCATTACATCATTGCATTATTTAACAGTATAATGAATAAATATGAGCATGAAGATTAGATAATATGAAAATGTAATTATCCCTCTGTCTTTCTCTCATTCGCCACAAGGTTATTCTCCCCAAGGCGCGTGCGTAATGAGTCCATAGCGTGTCAGTCTGGTAAAACACGGAGCTCACATGCATATAATATACATCCTTACGGACACGTTTCCTAATGAGTAGGTCTACTGTTCACCTCGCCCTCTCTCTCCGTATAGCCTATATTATCACTAATCTTAAAATAATCACGTATAATAGCACTGGAAACCCTCGGCAAGAAGACTTTGGAGATGTGGGTCGGGCCGGAACCCAAATCTCTTGAAAGATGAGAAGCACCAAGAAGGTGGGCAGGGCGGGACGAGGCAGGTAGGACTCAGAGGCTTATAGGCAGAGGGAGTTGCTGTGTCGCAAACCCATTTAAAATCTTTCCTCACCGGCAGCTCGGCATTGTGACCCGGTCAGCTGAGAGACGCTCAACATTTCAAACGTCTGGCGGCAGGCTGCAAAGTTTCCACCCTGCAAACACGGTCATGTAGCTGCGGGCCGGAGCACCGCACCGCACCTTCCAGGTTTCTCAAATTGGAATTCGCCTCTCTGAAAGCCCGGAATCAACCTCCCGCTGCGTCGTTTGATGCCTAAAAACAACATATTCCCGCGTGCCGTTCGTTGCACAACTAACGCTTCTACTTTAGTAAGTTGATCATATTAATCGGCGACGTAGCGCGCCGCGGATTGGAAGTGGGAATCCCATTTGATCAGTCATAGATGTCCTCTCAGCTGGAAGCAGGCCCGCAGCTGGAGACCACGGCAAGACCTGACGCACTCAAATCCGAAGACGCGACGAGCCCTGACGGATGCGCCGCGCCGCGCGTCTGCCGCGGGGACGGAGGGCGCAACAGAGCGGACGCGGCTCCCGAGCGCCACCAGCCGACGACCCGCCAGATGACCCGCAGCCCCAAATGCGCCCGCTGCCGCAACCACGGCGTCGTGTCGTGTTTGAAAGGCCACAAACGTTTCTGCCGCTGGAGGGACTGCCGCTGCGACTGCTGCCTGCTGGTGGTGGAGCGGCAGCGCGTCATGGCGGCGCAGGTCGCCCTGAGGAGGCAGCAAGCGGCGGAGGTGAGGAGGGCGCAAGGGCAGGTCAGTGATGGAGGATGATGGGATGGCTAAAACATGTCCTCTCGGCGTTTGTTCACTTGCAGTTAATTTATTTAATAGGCACATATTGGTACCAAAGTGAGGTGCAGGACGTGAGTTTTAAACAGTATTTAAAGTGTGACTATAAGAGAGTATAGAAACTCTAATGTGCTCTTTCGCTAGATTGGATTTTCTAAAGCAAAATCACATTTTTATGCTCTGGTTAAAAATAAAGCTGCAAGCCTGATTTTGCAATGATGATTAATGATTCAACTAATGTGTGAGATAGTTCGACCATTCTGTGGCCCGTCGCAAGACTGCTCAACTTTCTAAAAACAGTTTACAATTGACCACAGATAGTTTTCTTTTCTGCAACCATGCAGAACAAATTCATATTTTTAGAGATTTGGAACATGAGTTACATTTAATGAATAGTTTATATATATATATATATTATATATATATATATATATATATATATATATATATGTGCTTCAAGGTAAAAATGTTGCCTTTTAAAATTACATTTCTGATTGCATCATATGCAACTGATACCCACTATAGCCACGAGACATTTGCAACCATATACACTTAATTTGTAACTTAACCAGGTAGGCTAACAGAGCTAACAGAAAGAAACCATAAACAAATTTGTCAAACAGGCCCATCTTACCATGAAACAATTTTCTTTTACATGTAGCTGTATTTTCTTGTGTAAACATGTGACTATCCTATGACATTATAAAGAGATACATTATGTCAAAATATCTAATCCCGGTTCCCCCGTGTCTCTCAGGGGAAGAGGGGGGTCAGGTGTGCAGGTCCGTTGCGGAGGACCGCCTATCAGCGCTACGCGGGAGCAGCCGAACAAAGCATACTGGCTAAGAGCATCCTTCAGGGTAAAGCTTTAATTAACTTCTTTTATGTACTTCCTCTTTTCTAGACTTTGCTATCGTGAGCATTCTTTACCCCAGGAAATTTGATGAAACCTGTGAGATAAACTTTAACATTTATCTTCTTTACTTTTAATCGGTTGAGTTTAATCAAGTTGAAGATATCAAATTTATCGACATCAACAAATGTAATCGTTTTACCTGTCCAGAGTGGGATGAGATAGGTGTAAAATTAGCATGTATTGTTGGTCACTGATGCATTGTATTAATAAATCATTAAAAGTATAATATCTATGGTTTTTATACTCTTAACCTTTATTTGCCCATGTTTGTAGACCAAAGGCCCCGTTGATTAATGCAAAAAAGTCAAATTTGTTTCATGTGCGGTGCTAACAAAACTGATTGGGATTTTCTGAACTTTACAAACAAAAGAACTGAATAATTCATAATATTTCATTTTGGGAATAATTTGTCAGGACATTTATTTCCTGAGGTTTACCTCGACATCAACCGTTATCTGTCCATGTCCAACCACAGCATGTTTTCTTGGCCTTAAATTAAGACTTTTACCTCTTTCACCAAAATCCAAGTAAATATTTGTGATCCCAGATTCTTATCCTTCTACAGACTAAAGTGCTGACAACGTCACAGAACTAACAGATTTTAGTTGCCACAAGTAGACAGAAACTCTAAACACACACACGCATTCTTAACACAAGCTCTGATAGGTCCCCATATTAAGAGTGCTTCTTGGTGGATGTCATTACCCTGCATTACGCACACCTACTTTTTATAAGCCACCTGATCACTGTAGCCTTACTGTTCCAACATGCCATTACTGAAATGCACTGTGTGTATTAATACCTGCTGGCTTGCAGTCAAATTCTGCAGGAGGCTTTTTATCTTCAATAGCTTGGCTTCTCTGTGCTCTTAGTAAAACAAAAATGACACCGCTAACCAACTGTACAATTCAAATTGTAAAGACCACAATACAATTGATTTGCTTTGAAGAAATGCATCATTTGTCAATTAATTCACTATGAACTATGAACACAAAACAGCAGTGTGTGGCTTTTCCTGTGCAGGGCTCAAACCAGTGGTGCCCCTGGAAGAAGACGTCTTCCGCTGGTCGAAGCAGACGCAGCGCGAGCAAACAAACGTCACGTGTCCACCCTCCATCAGTAGCCGGATGAGGAAGAGGCGAGCCTTCGCCGACAAGGAGCTGGAGAACGTGATGCTGGAGCGGGAGCTGAGGCAGAGAGAGCTGCACGGCGACCTGTCTGTCTCCTCCTCTGGCCTCGTCCCCTTGCTCCACCCTCCGCCCCTGCCTGTCTCCCCCAGCCTCCACTGCTGTCTTCTCAGCAAGGAACCCACTACTGTAGGGATGTCCACTTACGTGCCTGTGTGTAAATATAAGCCTCTGTATGAGTGTGACTTTCAGTTCTATCACTTCTTCCAGCTGAAGAGCAGGCCGTCCGTAGAAGGGGACTATAATGACGTCTCATGTCAAAGCTCAGGGCAAACCGGGAGGGATGAGGAGGGGCTGAGGAGCCGCCATGGCCGTGAAAAGAATGACAGACAAGAGTTGATGCCTCCATCATCGAAACAAATACTCAAAGATCTCAGCGGCACCACGTCAGGCCTCGTCAAACCTTCCTCAAAAAAAACAACAGACATAGTGGACACTAATGGCTCATCAACCTTCACATGCTCGGTTTTGGGATCGGATCAGGGTATTCTGGGAGGGCCAGACGTCACAACTGTTGATCCCAGACCTCTGGCAGACGAGGGCTGCTGCGCAGACACGTTGGCCGCTCACGCGAGTCCCCGCGCCGACTCCGTCAAGAGCCCTCATGGCAGCTCAGTCAGGAGCCCAACCGTGAAGCCGTTGCCTTTCTCCGTGGAGGCTCTTCTGAGGGCCTGACAGGCAAATGGAAAGCAGTGTACTACGCTTTGTTTTTATGCGCGAGCTAAGCTTCACAGCTGTGTGAATAAATAAAAAATATTGCCTAGTTGTTTCTTGACATGGGCTGCTTGCTATTTACGCACAATTGCCAGAACATTGATTATTTCTATTTATTTGTCTTAGTTTTTATAAAAATGTATATTTCTATTACGATATAACAATGACACAGTGGCGGCCCGCGAGGGCCAGCCAGGCCTTCCCTGCCGGGCTAAACATCATCAGAATATACATTTAATTTTGATATATTTTTTCCAGAAATAAGTATTCATTTTTTCCCCATAATCTGTTGTCTTTATTTAATAGTTTCTCTCTTGGTTGCGCTGCTTCCAGCCGCAGACATTTCAAAGGCGTTGCCAGGGTCCAAGGAATCGGCCTTAGGCCATCCGAATCATCAGTGCACGTGTCTGCAGCTCAAAGTGAACGGAAACGAAACTGGGGCGTTGAACAATGGTATTTTGAATTGTGACTCCGGCTAGCAAACACACAATGACGTCAGCCCGAGCACGTCTTTTGATTGGCACTCGTGGGGAGGCGGAGCTACGCAGAGCATTCAGGAATGTGAATGGCGTCACTGAAGACCAAAGTGTGAGATCCACAGCCCGTCACTGCAATGGAACGTATACCGCGGGTGCTCGATAACTAGATTTCAAATTGTATGCCTATATTAAGCATATTTTATACAAACATATTTTTTGTAAGAGTATTCTATAAAAACATACTGAACAATTCTGTTTTGATCCTCTCAAAATCCTCACATGTTCTCATTCAATGCGAATGAATGACAATGAATAACAATATACATTATAAAACGATGTTGAAAAAGTTAATTGTTGTGTGAAGCCTATTTTGTTCGGTTTTTCATTGATTTTAAAATTGAAGCGTAGATGTGGATGGCGGATCTCGGCGCTGCTCTTGGGCACGGCATTTCTAAACAAAACACAGTAATTAGAGAACCCTAATACCTCATTAATAACCAACACTAGCGGGAGGATCAGGAGTTTCCCATGTAGAGAAGATAATAGAGCTTATTTTGGAGGGGGATATATTTCCTCTAACAGCACAGAAAAGGCTGCTGTCTCGTCATCGTTGTTGACATAATTTAAATTGTAAAACTTTAAATTTAGTCATTACATGATTAAAAAAATCATAATAATAGTCAACACACATTTGATCTATATTTCATTTTCCACTTTTTTTCCCCTGCCGTGTTTGTTTTGTTCCTCATTGTAATGGAACAAAGACGGAGGTCAGATTCTTTGACAACGGCGGACCTTGTCAACACACTGGTGATGTGTCTCTGTGTGCTAGTATCCAGCAGCATATCAGAACGCCTTCCTCCCTTCATGTTCACAGCGGCAGACAGAGAGGAGACTTGGCACTGAAGGAAGGCCATGTTGGGAGCTTGCAAGCACTGAATATGTGGCATTGCTTTTTTGTATTATTGTTCACCACCTGCAGTCATTTTACAATATTAAAATGATTACGTGCAAATTGCCATTTTCACTATGATGATGAAAAGATGAGCATCGGTCACAAAAGGGATGATAATGAATTCCGCGACGAATGACAGACGATGGAAATGAATTTCGCTGCCGGCAAATTTATTTATTTCTCCAGTTAACCCACGATTCTTTCTGGAGTGTTCTTAGATGAGGTTTGTGGCCCCTTAATAGATAGCAACCCCGCTCTACATGCCATTCACGTTCCACTTTTCTTCTTAGGACAATTTAGGGGGAGGGACGGAGTAGATGTATTGTTCTGCGCCGTTATGAAACCTTTGAAATCGATCTGTAATTGCCAACATGTTCTTCTATAGGTCGATGGAAGGAAAGAGGGAGAAAGGGCATATGTGGGAGGAGGGGATATTAGGTTCAGGCCACTATGCTGACGAAGCAGTTTCAACAGGTTCAAACATGTTTTTGGAGTAATAGACCAAACTTATCTCCTCTCCCAACCCCTCTTGCCTCGTGTCGCCAACCTCTGGCTCTCCTGCTCGTTATGCTCTCGTTCAGCCTCGCTTCCATTTCAGCGTGATAAAATTCCCTCGCTGTGTTCAGGCCAGAAAAGCTTTGCTTTGGCCTCTTTCCAGTGACCGTGGGCTTCACATATTTATCATACAGACTCCCATCGGCCGCAGCAGTGACAAAAAAAGATGCAACGGTGCATCTGAAGAGAGCTGGCATCTTTGTTTTCCCGCTGCCTTCATTCCGTAATCACCTTGTAGTGTTTACACAAGCTGTGTGCAAAGAAAGACGTGCAAAGGAAGGTAAATTCTCATGCAAGTGCGTTTTTTTTTTTTTTCACCGACCTCACCGTGAAGACGAGGCAGCCAGAACCCTTGAGTTGTTTGATAGGATCTTAGCTCTCGCTTTGGACAGATCATCAGCAAAATGTTGTATCAGGGGTTGAGTGGAAAACCTTTGAACGCACCGCCAGCTCTACTAATTACTGGATGATGGTGGACTAAATTCACGTCTTGGTGTGGCAAGGTCATTACTCTAGACACCTGTGAGAGATGCTGTCTGAACTTATTAGCGTTATCATGGGCTGTTCGGATAACGCTAAGGACTCTTTTTGATCGCCTGGTTGGTCCACTCAAAGTGTCTGCATCTAAACTGAAGTTGTCTTAGTCCCGTCTCGTTAACATGCCTCAGTTTTATTGATACAAGCTTTGTTGGACTTGGAAAACATTGACATAGCATAGCATACTGGTGATTGGCATGTGTGTGATTACTATTCACAGCAAGCGGTGTAGACAGTGCTGACCTTTGAGGAGACGGACAGCCGGAGTTCCTAAAAAGGAGAAAGCTAATGTTATCTCATTAACTACATTCACTCGTATTTAACCTCCTCTGTGTCCTCTGCCCCACAAAAGAGTCATTGTTTCCAGTCAACGGTACAAATGTATCTTCCAAGTAAACAAAATGAGCTGATGAGTGCTGTATGCAAAGTCTTCTCCTAAATAGGTTTATTGTGAATGTCTGCATGTAAGGATTGGAAATTGATACATGCTTTAGTAGGAAAATGCACCAACGATCAGGAGTTCCCTTTTGGAATAGATGCCACAAACTGTTGCATGACGATACGTTACGTATGCTGGATTCGCCACTTGGGTTTACTCAAAGCCCCACTACAACACATTTCCCAATAAATACAATTTACATAATTATACAATTGCTATAAATAGTTTTTAGCTGATAACAAACTCACGTCTGTAGGAAATGCGATATTTATATTGGATATTCTGTGTGTTACTGTCTGAGTTGTTTCAGTATTGCAATGAACTCCACAGGCCTCCTGAATTAACTAACTTAACTCAGTCAAGACAACATGAGACCAACTTGGATTTCCTGCACAGCTTCTCTTGTAGGTATTTTTATTTGTGCTGCTGCCATGAGCTGATGTAGCTTTTCGTTGCACCTCAGGGAGGATTCATTCTGTTTATTTCAACAAAGTGTCCTCACCATTGAGAATGCGGGTCCAGAGCAGAGTTTGATCTTTCTGCCAATTTACCACCACTTTGGATTCTCCCCTGTTCCACCCTGCCCTGCAACAGCCCCGTGTGCTTGTGGTATTTAGTGGCCACCGGTGTAACGTTTCACTACAGCTGTGTGTGTTTGAGACTTTTGCTTTGATTTGTGGATACAGGCCAGTAATGAAAGCATCTTCAGTGGAACATCGCTTCAGTTAACGTACAATCCTTTTGATGACAATCAAAAGATCAAAAAAAGATGATACGTATATATAAAAATTAACATTGTCTCAGGCAGAACTTTGGCACAAATAGTCATATAAATGGCTTTTCCAATCTATCTTGCACCAAATAAGAGTCTGGTGTTTGAGAGTATTTTAGAGTTTGAAATGGCATCTTCATAATGGCCCCTCCAGCTGAATGGCTTATCTAAACACCCCAAAACCGCAGAGAATCATTTATCTTTTGGTCGTTTGACCTTCAGTAAACCAATCTGTGTCAGTCTCTAAAAGTTCAGAAAACAATGTGAAGATCTCCGTGAAGACCAGCGGTGTGTAAAATATGACCTGTAATGACTCATGTGGACAAACAAACTGAGACACAAATAGATCACATCACTAGACAACCTGTTTAAATCAATCTGTACAGACAAACTCTGCACAGTGCAGGTCAGGCTTTGCTCTAAAGTGTGCAGAAGGAGCAGGCAGCCGGTTACTTTAGCAGATTTTCAAGCCTTCATGCATGTTCAGATTAAAATAACAAAAGGAATTGGGCGCAATAAGTTATTACACTTTACACTTATTCTTGTTACTGCAGCAGATTCCTTTATTAATACTTTTTGGAGATTTCTTTAAAACAATATTCCGTATTGTATTTGCCAATTTTATTCCACGCTAACGTTCTCAAGTTGAAGGCCGTCGTCTATTTGCAAGCAGCAATTTTGTCCAGATTGCCCCATGAGTTCCCAGCTGTGGCTATTAGCGCCAAGATAAAATGAAAAAGACTTTCACAGAGAACACGCGTCCGGTCTGCCTTCTGACAGAGACATTCCTAATTGGCTGTAGTTGGGTTCCAGTCTGACCACCGACACCCTTCATTTAACAGGAGAACAAACACTCACGGCACTCGCCTTTAAAAAGACGGCCCCTGCGTGTAACCCTGCCTGCCGCAGTTGGGCTAGAAATTTCGCAGCTTTAAAAACATCTTTGAAACAGGCAGGGTAGAGTTCTCTCCCGCACCTCCCCACTTATCCCCATCCTGGACTATTTGGGTTTTTCCATGCGCTCGTGTGTGCACGTACAGTATGTGTGTGCTTGCATGTCGCTATTCCAGCAGCCTTGGGGACTACCAATGGTACCCGCGGCCGCAGCTGTGTGGCGATCCAGTTACCATCACATGGTGCCGCTTGGCCGCCAAAGAACTACCTCTGCAATATTAGAAACCAAAGCAGACCACAAGACCGTACTTTCTCTCTCGCAAGATGTCTCGTTCTCCGGAAAACAAGATGTGATACAACACCCCGTACCGACCTTGACATCCTGTTAGTGAAATTATATATTTTCTGGCTGGGTTACTTAAAAAAAGTTGGGACAGCTGTATTTTTCTATTATGAGATAAAAACCCGTTTATTGTGCCATGAGACTGAATACAGTGTGTTGATGTAGGCGTAGTGTGAACGCTTGATTCTCATTGACATGCTCACTCAACTCTTTCATCACCACCCTGTGTTTCTTTAAACCCCACATGCTTCATATTTACAGGTCTGGACTCAGAGCTGTCACCTTCATAAGCTGAAACCAGCACACGCCAGGCGAGTTCAGTAACTCCATAGACCGAGGGTGGCAGCAATAACATCATTACAAAACAGCTCACACTGCCCGGCCACGAAAGCAGTATTTACCCAGCTTGCTGCGGATTGTATTCTATAGAAAATTCCGCGAATCCAAATTCAAACAATTCCCTCGACCGCGCCGTAATAATCCGATCTACACTGAGGTTATTCATGTCCCGATCTGTCCCCCCCCACACCCCTGTATGCTAAGATATTGGCACCCTCTTTCAAGTGATTGATTATCTCCGAGGCCCAAAGAGGAGAGGACCGTGGAGTTTAATAAACATATAAAAAACACTTTTACATGTCTGGTTAACAGACCTTTAGGAATAACAGTTGGTGCAGGCCGAGTCGCCGGGCGGGTTGGGATGGCGTGATAACTGTGACACAACCTGCCAAGATCAACAGCTTATTTTAGAGCATTTCACTTTCCCCTTTAGTCAAGCGAGATCCAGCTGACAGAAGAACCCCTCAACCAGAACGAGGACACCACAAACACGGAGCTGCAAAATAGGTATCAGGCA